TCGTCCTCCTCCTCCTTCTCCTCCTCATCATTATCATCACCATCAGCATCAACATCAACATCACACTATTACGAATGCTAATACCCATCATCATCATCGCCACCACCATCATCATCATCACCATCAGCATCACCATCATCATCAGTATCATCATCATCATCATTGTTATCGTCATCATCACCATCACCATCACCACCACCATCATCATCATCAGCATCATCGGCATCATCATTATCAGCATCATCATATTCATCATCATCACCGCCGCCATCATCTTGCTCATCACCCTCACCACCATCACCACCACCATCATCACCATCACCACCATCATCACCATCAACATCATCACCATCATCACCACCATCATCATCTGCATCACTTGTCTGTCCCTCCTCATTGTGCTCCTCCCTCCTCGATCTCCTGTCGCTCCTCCTCCTTCCTTCCTCCTCTTCGATTTCCCACTCCTTCTCCTCCTCCTCCGCCTTCTCCCCCCCTCCTCCCCCTCTGCACGCTGGAGCGCGTATTCGATGTATCCCTGCTGCCCATTCTTTACTCTCAGTGTTTTGTGGGCCACTCCTGGGCCCTCCCTTGATTCCTTGCCTTCTTTTGACACCATCGGGTTTCCTCCCATGGTCTCCAGTTTGTCTGCCTTGTTCCTTCCTCCCGCTCTCTGTTTCCTCTGCCAATTTCCCCGGTTGCACCTCGGGCATAAGCCACCTTGATTTCTCAATGCGCACCTGTATGGTCCCATAACAACCCGTCACTCCAAGTTGTTTCTACTACCAACCGTCAACTAATCAGAGTACAGAAAAAGGATTGTGAGGTCACCTGAATGGGGTCGGACGCGCCTTGGACCACTTGCCTTGAGCCAAAATGGCTACGGCGTCCGTGGACCCCAGGCAGGTTTTCCAACATGTAGTGGAATCCCTTCGGATCGAAGACGACGAGGGCTCACTTGTCCCTCCGCCTCGGGACCCCTTATGAGGGTGACTCTGACTAGTGGCTGTGTTTTGAGGGGCTAGCCTTGCCTCGGCCAGTGCCAGGCTGGACTTCACTTTCCTGTTTCCCCCTCACTCTCATCTCGTGCTGCCTGTGGTTTTTGATCCAAGGGCAGTATAGCGCAGCCTTTTGACTCACCGACTGGCCGCGCGGGCCCTGGGGCTGGCTTGTGGCGAGAAGGGTACGATGCAGGCTGCGCCTCCTGCTCCCCTGGGCCATCGGAAGGGCTTGCCCTTTGGCCTCTGCACACCGCGCCCTCTGGGCGCCCGCGGCCTGGGCTGAGCCAGTTGCCCGCCGCGTTGTCCGACGGACATCGTCGGACTCATGTTTGTTCCGGGAGGTCGCTCTCAGTGCGCGACCTCCATCGTGGGCTGAAGTGTTTGCGCCATCGGTCCTGCCTCGAGGCTCGCAGAGGGAAACGACAGTTCTCTCGGTGGGTTTTTTTTGGGGGGGGGGAGAAGGCGTCCCAAGCCAGCACGCCGGCAGCAGCAGGGCCCTCGACAGGGGCAGCCTGCAGCGTACAGCTGCAAAAGCACCCTAGCGACACGATCATGCACGCTTATTTGGGCGATAAAGGGTCTCTCTCTTTCTCTCTTTGTCTCTCTCTCTCTCTCTATATATATCTCTCTCTTAATCGCTCTCTCCTCCCATTATCTCTTTTACATTATGTCCCTTTTCGTCTCTCTCGCTCCCTCGTTCTGCTTACCCATTCTCTGATGGGACCGCTCTTGCTTCCTTGCCGTCCCCTTTCACCTCCGGGACTCCTCCCACGCTGCGTGCAGGCCCCGTTTGCCCCCCCATATTACTCTCAACGCCTTCGGCTCCTTCAGGGTTCTCTTTTACTTTCTTGCCCTCCTTGGGTACCTTAGGGTCTCCTCCCTGCCTGCGTCCAGCCACTGTGAGGGAGCGAGCCTCCTGCTTGACCCCCCTCCCTGTACCCCTTCCTTTCTTACCCCGCCCTCCCTGCTTCAGTCCTGCTGCGGCCGCGCTGGACAGAGACGTGCATGGATCGTGCTGGCATGATCCATCCCACATCGCGGGTGTGTGCATTCTTGATTGTAGCATAGCAGTAATGTTGATTCGCACGTCTACTGCCGCCCTATCTTCTTAGGGTATGGGCTTATCCCTGTGGGCCAAGTTGTCAGGCGGACACCCCCGAATATCTACAACTTGGTGTTGGGATGACCCCCTGCAGTCGATACAAATTCGGGGTGTTGTGCGCACCATCTTATACAAGAGCATGCCCATCATCCGCATGCTCCAGTAGACAGGAGTAGTTGCTTTCACTTCCAGTATCACCAGGCTTGCCCGATTTTGAGCTGGCAGAGGTGGCTGCCAAGACATGCGGCGGACGCATGGCAACCACCATTCCAGGTGCAGACGGAAGGTACGTTGTACCACTCCATAGGGTGTGTGTGTGTGTCTTCCCAGCCTGCACCGACTCACGAGGGTGGTAGAGTCCAAGTGCCCCACCGAACACACACACACATGGTTATGCTCATGGCGCTACAATCCCCCTCCTCCTCCTCCTCCTCCTCCTTCCCATGTTCCCTCTCATCCTCCCCCTCCTGCTCCCCTTCCTCTTCCCCTCCTCCTCCTCCTCCTCCTCCTCCTCCTCCTCCTCCTCGTCCTCCTTCTTACCCCTGTTGTACGGTCTTGGCCGTGCGGGCGAGCTCCGGATCCCGAGTCAGCTGAGGCAAGCAGACGGTCCGCCTCCGTCGGGTGCCTCCTCCTCGTCCTCCTCAGCCTTCTTCCTCTTCCTCCTCTTCCTCCTCCTGCTCCCCTTCCTCTGCCCCTTCTCCCCTCCTCCCCTCCTCCTCCTCCTCCTCCTCCTCCTCCTCCTCCTCCTCCTCCTCCCTCCTCCTCCTCCTCCACCTCCGCCTCCTCCTCCTCCTCCCCCTCCCCCTCCCCTTCCTCTCCTCCTCCTCCTACTCCTCATCATCCTTCCTCCTCCTTCTCCGCCTCTTCCTGCTTCCTTCCTCCTCCTTCCTCCTCCTGGACCAACTGGATCAACTGAACAATTGCCTGCCCATGCACTGCGCAGGCAAGAAGTATGCAAGAGGGGCTGGCTCTCCTCTTCCTTCCTCTCTCATCTCTTCTGCCTCCTCATCCTCTCCCCTCCCTCCTCATCTTTCCCTCATCGTGCCCCTTCACCTCTCTCTTCCTCCTCCCGCCGTTCCTTTCTCCTCCTCCTCCTCCTTCTGCACCTCTCCTCGTCTTGGCATTTTTGCTCGACGAGGACCATCGAGGAACATCTCGGATCATCATGCGGAAAAATAAATGCACGAGGTCGAACAATGCATGGGGAATGGACGTCCGAGCGATGGCAAGTTCTATCTCTACCAGCGGCGGGCTTGACGACAATGCAGGTCAGATGGTGGCCCAACGGCAGCACTCAGCCGTCGAGCCTCATTCCTTCCTCCCTGGGACTAGCGATGGGCAGCAGTAGTATGCGGCCGAGGGGCGTTCCAGCAGATCGCCACCTTGAGCGCACAGACGAATACGTGACGTCAGTGCTTCCAGTACGGGTGGGTGGGCGGGACGTAGGAGCGAGGGAGGGGGGCCAGCAGGACGGGGTGGGTGTAACATCAATGCGTATCCTCGAGTGTCTTCCTCCTACCTCCTTCCTCCCTCCTCCATCCTCCTCCCTCCCCCAAATTCCATGCCTCCTGAATGGGTTCCGAGTAGATGGGGTCGGAGAATCGCGCCGCATCGCCGATGCATCGGCGATGCGGTTCGACGTGGGTCCCAAGTTTCTTCACGCCGACGGCGCCGATGCATCGCCGACGTTGCCGATGTATTGTGGCAATGCCTCGGCGATTCGGCGCGATCGTCCGACCCGATCTACTCGGACCCCAGATGCGAGGCCCCCTCCGCCGCCAGCGCAAGAGGGGGGATGATGGGAACTGGACCCCCCTCGCGTGTCGCGTGGAGACCCTAAACTTAAGAACTTATCTAGAACCCCTACAGCATTCTTTGTATGTCGGGGACTGCTCGGAGGCTTCGGATGGCACGTGAATTTGTCTTTGTGAGTTGTTGTCGAAGGTTCCCTGTAGGTATCCATGGGCTACTGGCCACTCGCAGTTTGAAGCGTTCACGTCTACCCATATGGAACGTTCCCAGAAAAGGCCTTGCCCTCGCGGGCCGAAGGCATTGCCGTCTTTTCCTCGGCGGAACGCCGGCGGAAGTCGCCGTAATTAAAACGTGGCCGCCTCCGCTGGCGGAAGCCAGCGAGGGGCTGGCAGAAACCTGCGGAAGTGCGAAGTTGCCCTCCGAGAGATGGCCTGTTCTTTTGGGGCAGGGCTTCCGGGATCGGTCATCTGATGCTGTTTCTTGTTGTGTGTGTGATATGTATGCACGCATATGTGCGCGCGCGTGGCCCGGCGGATCTTTGGACACCCGCGTGCGGCAGGTTGGCGCCGCCCCGTCGCGGCGGCGGCGCGGCCGCGTGCGCTTCGTGCGGAATCTGCAATGTTGGTTTGGTGTCGAGCGGGTCACGCGGCAACGAACTGGATACTACTGGCTTTCCGTTTTCGTTCGTTTGGGCGCAGAAGAAAACCAGGGACAGGTGGAATAGGAGGAGGAGGAGGAGGAAGAGGAGGAGGAAGAACTACTCTCAGAAGGCTGGGTGAGTTCCGAGACTTGGAGAGGGGCCGCCTCTTCTCATCTTCCCCCCCGCGATTGCCGCCCCAAGGATGAACATGAGCATTGTAAACAAAAACAGTCACCGAAGAGGAGGGGGGAGGAACAGGAAGGTTGTAACATCCATCATAGCAGCTAGTGCGAGACAAGAGATAAGAAAGAAGAAGAAGGAAGGAGGAGGGAGGAAGGAGGAGGAGGAGGAGGAGGAGGAGGAGGAGGAGGAGGAGGAAGGGAGAAGGAAGAAGAGGCGGATGGAGGGGGAGGAGGAGGAGGGAGGGGAGGGGAGGAGAGGAGGGGAGGGAGGAGGAGAGGAGGAGGCGGAGGAGGAGAAGGATGAAAAGGAAGAGGCGGGGGGAGAGGAGGAGGAGGAGAGGAGGAGGCGGAGGAGGAGGAGGAAGAGGAGGAGGAGGAACTGTATCGGAAAGATGAGGGAGGAGCGAATCGGCCAGGGGACGGGGTGGAGGCTGGAGGGGGAGACGCAGGAGTGTCAGAGGACGAGGCAGATAAGTCGATCGTCGGTCTCCATCGTCGTTGCGTCGTCGTCGTCGTCGTCGTCGTCGCCTTCGTCGTCGGACGCCCCCTGTCCCCGCTGTGGTGCAAGAGGACCTCTGGAGGTCCCTGGAGACGTCTGAGGGCCTCCAGGAGGAGCAGGAGGGTGAGGATGAGGATGAGGATGAGGATGAGGATGAGAAGGAGGAGGAGGAGGAGGAGGAGGAGGAGGAGGAGGAGGAGGAGGAAGAAGGGGAGAAGAAACTGAGGAGTTTGGGGGCGAGGACAGGGGGGAGGGGAAGTGGCTAGAGGCCCCGAAGTGGACCAACCCCGCCTTGGCACCTCAAACCTTCCTCGGACTTCGAAGCTTACAGTCAACCCGCACAGCAAGGATGAGCAACTTTCCAAGGTTACCCTTGCATCTTGCCCCTTCGGCCCATCATTGGCCGCTTTCGCTGGACGCGCCCCGCCCGCAAAGTGTCGACATGGCCTTTCAAGACCCTGCCATCATTGTCGTGCGTCCTTAGTGTACGGGTTGACTGCACGGGACAGGGAACCTGGAGCAAACTCCAAAGGAGGGAGTTCCCCCGTGTCGGTTGGAGATGTTGCGTTCGGGGCAAAGCCCTGACCAATCCTGGGTCGCCCCCTCTCCCGTTGTGTCGTCAGGCTTGCACCCCCCAGAAGCTTTCGGAGTTTGGCAGAAACCTCACAAGAGGGCCCCGAGAGGCCAAATTCATGGACTCCCCATGCGTTTTTCAATGCCTTTGGGGGTCCTCGACTTTTCGAGCTCCCAGCCCCAGACGAGCCAAGCTGCCCCCGGAGGGCCCCCAAACGGCCCACGAGGGCTTCCACAGCGGTCGAGGCTAAGTCAGGTGAAGTTCTGTGGTCGCGCTCCTCTCTCCTTCCGCAAGACCAAAACAGGAACCAACAAAACTGCCCAATCGGGCTTCACGACGGCCCCCGATCGCAGACCTAGAGGTTGACACCAACGCCAAGATCGGCGGTGTGCCACCACCGAGGGAAGACGATCCCGAGCTTCGGTGATGGTGGCAATACTCTGGCTTCCAAGGTGGCCTAAAGATTACCACCAACACCGAAATCTAGGATCATCTTCCCCATGTGGAGGCACCCCCCTGTGCTTGTGTTGGTGCCAATTTCCAGGCCTCCTACCCGAGGCGCCCAAGACGGCCCAAGAGGACCCCCACCCTGCCGGGTCGATCAGCGAGTTTTCTGTTTTGCGGTTCTCGAGAGGGTGTTGCGGGCGCAGTTTTTCGGGGGGGGGGGGGGGGCGCCCGCGGCCGTGTTGTGTCTACAGGGTGCTCTGCGAGAGGGCCTGCTGTTCACAAGCGTCTGGGAGCCCTGCCCCTGCTGGTCCGGTCGACGCTGGGGTGTCACCCGCTGGGGCTCGCGTGGCTGCAGGCCTCCGTCAAGTTCTGACCCCCTGTTCCCTTTCTGTTATATATATATATATATATTCCTATATATAAGATATCAGAAATCCCGCCTGCAGTGATAGGGCTCACATGCGGTCGCCTATCATCGGGATCCGGAAAACAAGGTCTGGTCAGCGTCCGGGTCGGCCCAGTCCCCTCAGGTGATGCTTGGGGGGCCGGGTCAACTGACCCGACTCGTTGTGGCCCTGAGGCGGTAGTTCCATGGCTGATTGGTCCGGTCAGGATTGTTTTTATAGGATCCCTGATGTCCTCTGGGAGCCGTAAGTGGAGGGTCTCCTGTCCGCTCTTAGTGGGAGAACAGCGCTCCCGGCGGCGAGAGATTTGGTATTCTTCCTCCCTCGGTGCCGTCGGGCCGCTAGAGAAGGAACACTTTTCGTTGGGTAGGGGCTCGGTGCTCCTGAACTGTTTTGCTGTCTGTCTCAGGCTCTCCGCAGGGTTTCCATGGGACATCGAATTGGAATTTGTCGAGCGAATTGGCCTCGTTTTTTTCAAGCAGTGGCGAAGCGTCCTGGCGTGCCAATAGGCCTACCAAACAATGTTCTAAGAACCTGTTGTGGTTTCCACGAAATGTTCTTAGAACATTTCTCGCTGGAGCTGTTTCGTTTTAGCACATCTGGCTTATGTTCTAAGAACACTGTTTTTGTTCTCAGAGCATTTTTTGCAGTTCTGAGAATATTTCGTGGTAGGCCTGTAGGAATGCCGGGACGGTCGGTCCCTGCTCAATCATTTGGGGTTCCTTATGGCGCAGCGTATCGACTGTATTTTGATCCCTTGCTGGCGCAGCTGCGTCGGCTGCGGAGCTGCGGCGGGCGTCTTTCGGCTTCCGCCTCCTGCCACGCGGCGTCGCGTGGTGTCGGGTGGCGCGGCCCTGGCGATCTCGGGCCGCCTGAGCATTTGTTGTTCTCGGCCTATGATGCTCCAACCTACTACAGCCTGGTTCGCCAGAAAGAATTTCGAGCACCAGAACAAAACGAAGCTCGAGGGTTTTCACGTGTCGGGCCCTGGGAGGCGCCCGTTCGACGCTGTTTCGACACTGTTTCGACACTTTTGCGACACTTTTCTGGGTGCTCGAAATTAGTTCTGGGATGTGGCCCTTAAGTGCGATGGGAGCAACATAATTCTTGGCCCCAACGACTCCTCTCGTTCTTGGACTCGCACTGCCCTCGTATCCTGGCGCTGTTCTGCTCTTACAGCGGGCATTTTCGCCAGGCTTCGGGCGCCGGGACCCTCACAGATCGATCCGGCTCGAAAAACGGAGCGGAATGATGGGGTCCAGGGTTTTGGTCGTGATTTTTGGCGATGTTGCAATTTCTCGCAACGTCAGATCTGAGCGTATATCTGTCCACGAGGGTGCACAATTTGTGTGCCCTTGCGATTCCGTGTTCGGCGCGCACTGTGCGTCGATTGCCAGAAGGCTTGAAGGCTCCCTGTCCTCAGGGGCGGCCTCACCGATCCCTGGTAAACCGTCCCCCTTCCGTGACGCCCCCCCTCCTCGCCTCGCCCCAAGACGCATGTGTGCGGCTGGAAGTTGGAGAGGCGAGGGGGACGTCACGGAAGGGGATGTGATGGGCTTGTTTTCCACCACCACCACCAGAAGTTGGAGGGGGGAAGGATGATGATGATGATGATGAGGAGGAGGAGGAGGAGGAGGAAGAAGCAGAGGAGGAGGAGGACCCCCTCCCCCCTCCAGCTTATGGTGGTGGTGGTGGCGGTGGAAGACGGGCCCATCAGGATGGCTTGCTGGGGGACGGCTGAAGCCCGACGGCCACCCCCGAAGCGACGGCCAGGACTTTTTGATCCGCGGGTCGAGAGCGAGCCTCTTCCGGTCGAAGCTAAGCGGGCCGCGCACAGCTTTAATTGACAGAGGGAGGAAGGCAGAAGGAGGGGCCTCACGTCAAGGCCAAATGAGGGCAAAGCGCCGGAAGCGACGGCCAGGACACGGACCTCTTCCGCCACACCGGTGGCCAGGACGGCGATGCGCAGCTCGAGCTCCGCCGGCGCCTCGGCAATATGTGGCGGCCGGCGGGGCTGGTTGCCTCGCCGCCCACGGGGCCGCGGCCGCCCCGGTTGGCACGCGGCATCCTGCAGGAGGGGAGGCCTCGTCCCCGTCGTCCTCCAGGATGTCCTCCTCCTCTGCCCTCCCTCCTCCCTCCCTCCCTCCTCTTCCCTCCCTCCCTCCCTCCTCCCTCCCTCCTCTTCCCTCCCTCCTCTTCCCTCCCTCCTCTTCCCTCCCTCCTCCCTCCTCCCTCCCTCCCTCCTCCTTCCCTCCCTCCTTCCCTTGTTGTTAATCTAGGCCTCCTAGAGCGGGTCCGGGTGGATGTGGTCGGAGAATCGCGCCGCATCGCCGATGCATCGGCGGTGCGGCTCGATGCGGAGCCCGCTTTGCTTCACGTCGACGTCGCCGATGCATCGCCAGTGCATCGCCGATGCATCGCCGACGTGACGTATCGGCGTTGCGGCGCGATCCCCCGACCCCATCCATTCGGATCCCATGACGGAGGCCTCTAGTCAAGCAGTGGCGAAGCGTCCTGGCATGCCAATAGGCACACCAGAACATGTTGTAATAACCTTTTGTGGTTGGTTAAGCAGTGGGATTCTGTTATCAGAACCATGTTTTTATTGTTCGAGCATTTTTGGTTCTAAGAACATCTCGTCGTAGGCCTACAGGAATGCTGGGACGGTTTGTCCCTGTTCAATTAAAGGCTCCCCCCCTCTTGGGAAATTGGCCGTCGCTAGCCCTCCAGACTGGAGCTAAATATGCTGCGCCAGAGTTGCAATGCCAGCAGTGACCATCCCTCCTGCCTGCCCCTAGCTCCTCCTGGTTTTGAGGTTTTCGGATGTTTTCGTCGCTTCTCGTCGGCTTTCCAGCCTCGTGATGCCTTCCAGCGGCTGCGCCTCGCCGAGAGCGTTCCAGGGGTGCCCTGACTGTCCCGAAAGGCTGCCGGAGAGCCGAGTTATGACCCGAAGGCCAGGGGGCCACGTTCGGAGATGGGATCAGGGGGGTAGGCATCGACTGCCAATCGCCCGCTCATCGCAGACATGGGGCCTGGATAGCCCACCCCACCCGGGAGTATGCGGATTCGCTATCCAGGGCTCTGCCGATCTGTCGGCGATACATCGCCAGTTCCAGGTCGATGCTCCCCGCACTGAGCCAGTCCCACCTTGTCGTTCCCCACACCGTCCTCCGAATGTAATGGCCTCCTGCCAGTGCTGCCGATCGGGGGGGCTTCGGATTCGGTGGTCTTCGCGGCTCTGTGGCCTCCTCCCTCCTCGATTCTTCTGGTCCTCTTTCTTCTCCTCTGGGGGGGTGCCTGGAGCGGTCCCGGGGGGGTCCGGGGAGGGTTCCGAGGGGAGGGTCCTGGGGGCGGTAGCGCCCAGATCTGAGGGGGGCCCCTGGGTCCTACTTTATCGTTCCCCCCCACCGTCCTCCTATTTCTGTTCTTGTCGTACTGATTGTTCCCAGTCGTACTGTGTGTTACGGGGCGCCTGAGCACCAGTCGTATTGCCATGACAAGGCCAGGGGGTCGCTCCGTAGCCCAAGCGCTTTGTATGGATTTTCCTGCGCACCTTCACAGGCACGTCAAGGTGTGTTCGCACGCCAATTTGTGATCTGTGTAATTCCCCAACCAGTGTTTTCACTGAAGGGGTCGTAGCGGAAGTCGAAAGATTTGGCGAAAGTTCCCCGCCGATTTTGGTGGCAGGCTGGGTTCTCGGTTCCGGGTTCCCGGGTTCCTGATTGTTGATTCCGGGCCGATTTTGGTGTGTTTTTTGGGTTCCTGGGCTCCCGGGGTCCAGGTCGATCTTTCCAGCGAAAACCATCCATCCACTGATCGGGGTTTCTCTTTGGTGTGATGCTTGTCCGATGTGTGTGGCCCGTTCTCACCACCGTCGCGGGGCATGTGAACTCTCGTGACCGAGCCGTCAGCACCAGCACAGTGGAACACATGGAGAAGGGAGGCCTGGTTTTCTGTCGGCCAATCTGGTTGTGCGCTGGCGCATGCGATTCCCTGTGCTCCATTTTTCACCTGCAGAGGGTGGCCCTACTCACGATTGTCAATTTCCCTGTGTACCGCTGCTGATCTTGTAACGGCGCGATCCGCATCGTAATGGTTTGTTCTCTACTGCCCACGCTAGCGGATCTCCATGAAATCAGTTATTCCTTCGCGCAGCCTTTTCTGGTGAAGGTCGAAGGTAGCTCTCTCCATGGACAAGCCAACGCTGCGACCACATATTATCGATACACCTGCTAGGGCGCTCCCCGATGGTGATCACCTGGATAATGGCGTTGCTTGCCTTGCGGACCTGCGCCTTGCTGCCGCTGCTGGCAGCGCCCTGGTCGATAATGTATTGCATGTATGTTGCCAGTGCAGATATGTTGTCTTTGTTGTGGGCATCATCGTGACGCCCATCCGCGTACATCCGAAGTTTGAGAAGTCCCGCATCGTACTGTGGCACGTAGCGTTGCAATCTTGTGAAACTACCTGCTGTGCTGAAGTGCCGTATTCGACGGCGAGAGTCGATGAGTGGAGAGAGAAGGCAAAGATAGGCAAAGTGGCCCCCTTGCAGCATTCCTTGCCTCCCCACTTTTTCCATACGAAGCAGACCGCATGAACGCCAATCGTGGAAAGGCGCTCGACGTGGTGGCCCTGAAAGCAGTCCCTCCTGCTGAGAGCTGGGCCGATCACCGAAGAGATGCAGCGACCCCCCACTCCTCCTCCTCTTCCTCCTTCACCTCCTCCTCCTCCTCCTCATCATCATCAGCATCAGCATCAGCATCAGCATCAGCATCATCATCATCATCATCATCATCAGCATCAGCATCAGCATCAGCATCAGCATCATCATCATCATCATCAGCATCAGCATCAGCATCGGCATCATCATCAGCATCATCATCATCAGCATCAGCATCAGCATCAGCATCATCACCATCAGCATCAGCATCAGCATCAGCATCAGCATCATCATCATCATCAGCATCAGCATCAGCATCGGCATCATCATCATCACCATCATCATCATCATCATCAGCATCACCATCATCATCAGCATCAGCATCAGCATCAGCATCATCATCATCATCATCATCATCATCATCAGCATCATCATCATCAGTCGACATTTGTTTCAAGTGTGCATTCCTGTGACCGACGCCAGTTTCGGCGACAGCTGTGATGCGCGGCGTTCTTATTTTTCAACTATACGACGTTGTGTTCTAGCTTTGCCTGGATCGGAAGACCAAGTTTCGGCCGGCTGCGTGTTCGCATCGCATCTGGGAGGCCTGCCTTTGAGGGCATCCTTCGTCTATCGATAAGCACCTTCAGTTTTGGGAATAGGTCCCCACACCTGACGTCTGGCCGCCAGCCTGCAGGACTCCACAGAAGGGGCTTCGCTACGTGAAGCTCGACCTCGTCACCGCTGTGGCAAAAAAATAATAAAAAAAAAATCATCATCATCATCATCATCATCAGCATCATCACCACCATCATCATCATCATCATCATCATCATCATCATCATCATCATCATCATCATCATCATCATCATCATCATCATCATCATCATCATCATCATCATCATCATCATCATCATCATCATCATCATCATCATCATCATCATCATCCTCATCATCATCATCGCCTCCTCCTCTCTTCCTCGTATCCTCTCCTCCTCCTCCTCCGTCTCGCTCCCGCCTCCTCCTCCTCCTCCTCCTCCTCCGCCTCCTCCCTCCTCCCTCGTCGTCCTCCTCTATCGCCCCCCTCCTCCCTCCTTGTCCTCCTTTTCCCCATCCTCCACCCCCTCCTCGACCTCCTCTCTTCCTGCTCGTCCTCCCTTCCTCTCCCCCCCTCCTCCCACCCCCCTCCTGCCCCCCATTCCTCTCCTTCCTCGACGCCGCCTGCCGCCGCCGCCGCCGCCGTCGCCGCCGTCGTCGTCGCCGTCCTCGTCGTCGTCGTCGTCGTCGTCGTCGTCGTCGTCGTCGTCGTCGTCGTCGTCGTCGTCATCGTCGCTGCCGCCGTCGCCTGCGCCGCCAGCGCCGAGGCCTCGAGAGCCCGGGCGGACGCCAAGCGGCGCTCCGTGGCCTGCTCGGTTCCGCGCTGCTGAGGAGCAGGCCCCTGGAGGGGGGGCTCCGAGGAGGCAAAGCTGCCGATGCCGCTGCCCTCTCCCCGTCGCTCGCCACGTCTTGTCTCGGTGCACACCTTGGCTCAGTGCATCCTCCTCCTCCCCTCTTCCCCTTTCCTCTCCTCCTACCCTCCTCCCCTCTTCCCTTCTCCCCTCTTTCCTCTCTCCTCCCCATTCCCCTCTCCTCCTCCCCTCCTCTCCTCCTCCTCCTCCTCCTCCTTCTCCTCCTCCTCTCCTCTCCTCCTCCTCCCCTCTCCTCCTCCCTCCTCCTCCTCCTCCTCCTCCTCCTCCTCCTCCTCCTCCTCCTCCTCCTCCTCCCTCCTCCCTCCCTCCTCCTCCTCCTCCTCCTCCTCCTCCTCCTCCTCCTCCTCCTTCTCCTCTCCTCCTCCTCCCCTCGTCCCCTCCTCCTCCTCCTCTCCTCCTCTCCTCTCCTCCTCCTCCTCCTCCTCCTCCTCCTCCTCCCCTCTTCCCCTCTCCTCCTCGGCTCCGTCGGCTTTTGGCTCCAGGGGCGCCGCCCTCACGGGCGGAGCGCAGCCGCCCGCCCGCTCGTTCCCGCGCCCAGGGCGTGAGGAGTATGGCCCGACCGCCGAGAAAAAAGTGCAGCAGGAGCAGGAGCGTGAGTCGTGACGTGCTCCTTCACGGCTGGACCGAGGTGCACGATCGAGCTCGGCTCGGGGAGGGTACCCTGATGTTCTTCGTGCTTGCCTCTAGGCCTCCTAGATGCGGTCGGAGTAGATGGGGTCGGAGGATCGAGCCGCATCGCCGATGCATCGGCGATGCGGCTCGATGTGCAGCCCGATTTGCTTCACGTCGACGTCGCCGATGTATCGCCGACGTCGATGATGCATCCCTAGTGCAACGCCGATTCATCGCCGATTCACCGCCAATGTATTGCCGATGTATCGGCGATGCGGCGCGATCGTCCGACCCCATCTACACCGACCCCATCTAGGAGGCCTCTGTTGTCGGATGTTCCTGTGCATCCTGGGGTGAGGGTACCCTCGACTGTCCCTCGGTTTGGCCGGCGGAGGGCCTCCTGCCCCCGAGAAAGACGTGCTTCTGTCCCAGGCCCGGCCGCGCCTGACTGCTCCGCGCCTGAGCGGATGGGCGCGGCGCGAGGCAGCTTGCTCCTCCCGCGGCCCGCCGGGCCCTCTCGCGGCGCTGTGCTTCGGCTGCGGGCGAGCGGCGCGCTCCGCCTCGCGCTGGCGTCTGCCCGCGCGGGCGTCGTCGCGCGTGGCCCGCAGGGGGAAGCCTGCTCGCGTCGCCTGCTTTCGCCTGTGGCGGCGGAGGGGGCTGGACTGCAGCGCAGGGGGAGGATGGGAAGGAGTTGGACGATCACGGTGTCGATGGTGACGGAGGGAGGGAGGAGAAGGAGGAGGCGCCGGCGGCGGTGGCGGTTGAGGGGCCTGGCGAGAATGATGATACTGGCAATCCTGATGGCGATGATGGTGATGCCGCGACGCTGCGGATGGTTATAAGGGTGCCGATGAAGAGGGCCACCATGTGGAATATGCTGATGCTGCAAATGGTGATTGCGACTGGCAAGTACGTACGTACGATCATGATGATGCTGCTGACGATGACGATGGCGATGACGATGACGATGACGATGACGATGATGATGATGATGATGATGATGATGATGACGATGATGATCATGATGGTGATGATGATGATGACGATGATGATCATGATGATGATGATGATGATGATGATGATGATGATGATAATGATGATGATCATGATGACGATGATGATGATGGTGCTGATGATGATGATGACGGTGATGGTGTTGATGATGACGAACATACTGATGTCGATGTTGATGAGCGTGATGGTGATGGTGATAGTGATGGTGATGTTTATGATGATGCTGATGCTGATGATGATGGTGATGGTGATGATTCAGATGATGATGATGCTGATGCTGATGATGATGAGGTTCATGATGCAGATGATGATGCTGCTGCTAAGCATGATGCTGATGATGATGCTGCTGCTGATGATGATGTTGATGACGATGCGGCTGCTGCTGCTGGTGATGATGATGATGGTGGTGATGATGAGGATGCTGATGATGGTGATTGGTGATGCTGATGACGATGGTGATGATGCTGATGATGGTGATGATGCTGCTGATGATAACGATGATGGTGGTGAGGATGAGGATGCTGATGCTGGTGATTGGTGATGCTGCTGGCGATGACGATGACGATGCTGCTGGCGATGACGATGACGATGATGATAGGGATGACGATGATGCTGATGATGATGGTGCTGCTGCTGCTGCTGATGAT